CGCGTGTCTTAATTCAATCTTCAAGTAAGCAACATTGGCCTACTAATATTTCTGCCAAGTTTAAAAAAGGATTTATTACTCAAATTGGCTATGTTAACCCCCCAAAAAATAAAAGTACAATGTTTGTCGCAAGACTACCTGATCCCTGGGTTTTAATTTTTAATAAGTCAAAATGAGGGTATGCTTTCTGTTTTTCATTTGTGTATGTGGGCACTAGTTATATTTGTTGTGGATATATAAATTTTAATACAGTCCATCTCATTCTAAGTAAAAATAATTGAGTTATCACATGACCGAACAAAAAAGGAAAAGGAGCCGCGATGGCTCAGGGGATGGAGCGTTCACCTTCCAATGCGGTGAACCGGGTTCGAATGCCAGTCGATTTGAATTCCGCATCTGGGTTGTACCGGCTGCAGTGCACACGTGAAATATCCTCAGTGGTAGACAGGTCATGGGTTAGAGTCCCCTTGCCGTCAGGCTAACCGTGAGAAATTCGCGTGGTCTTTCTCTCTATATAACGCATATGTGGGTTAGATCCTTCAAAAAGTCCTCCACGAAGGCAAATTTCTACCCATACTCGATCCAGGAGTTACCTTGTCTTCTGGATTGGGTTCAAAATTACAAGGCTACCGAGTTGAAAAATAACAGTCGTAAATCCATAAAATTAGGTCGGCTGTTCAACGACGGTTATAAAATAAAATAGTTCCGATATCATGCATATCTTATTATAAGTCATTAAATTAAGAAAAGAATATCAGAAATGTTCCAATACTTTTAACACTTCATGTTTATATTCCGACGCTTTTTAGTACTAAAATAACATTTGTAATTTGGAGCCCAAGGGTCAAACTCTGCCAGTGGGGGAAAGGTCCCGTTTTAGAAATCATCAAGTATCTCAGTTTCTAAATATTTCTGTACAAGATCTTTACTCAATCGGGACAACAGAAGTTTCTCTCGCAGGATGTCGTAGCTCACTGATGAAATAGAACTTCATGTCATATTCTGTAGCAAATTTTGGAATCTCGTTGAACTCTCTTCGTTGTTAAACTTCTCCAGTATCTGAGTCAGTGTTAACAAAGCGAACATAAACTTGAATTCTGTTTATTCAGCCAACACTATGTGCACTTGTTCATTAAAGAGATTTTCGGAATACATGAAAAGTACCTTTATCTCATCTATTCAACTGTAAGTAAAATATGAAAGCTTGACTACATTTTACGTGACCAAATTTACTTGTAAGCCATGAATATTAGCTCCCCAAACACTAGTTGGCGTGATTAAATTTTGAAAATTTTCATATACATTTCCATTTATTACACTGGGGAACAGAATCTTTTTTTGTTTTCTGTTGCGTGAGATTTTTTAACGGATCTTTGATATTTTCACGTCGCTTATTTCAAATCTGCAATCGGTTTCTCTCTCCCAGGAGTTTTTTTTAAAAAAAATTATTAAATTATATAAATTTTTAAATCGACTTTTTGTTGAAATGTATAATTTTCAAACGTTATATATAACAGGACATAATTCTAGGAGAGTTTGGGTGAGGGGATTTTATTATCAATCATGTCAACCTTCATCAATCAAAACGTACCTCTTTATAGAGTCAAGTTAACATGTCTTATATACTAGTGAATTGGTATTTAATATTTATAGTGGTAGTTACGCCACATTACTCCCCTTCCAGAATTTCATCTGTGATAGAATTCGATAAACGGATTCCACTAGTTGATTTAAGCTGTTTTTTTATTTATTTATATTCATATCATTTTTGCTCATTATTTTTTCTTCTTCATTTTTGTTTATAGCAATCCGCTCATTATTTTTTCCCCTTCAATATTGTTTATTGACCAAGAGACTTTATTTACTTCACCGGATTTTTCTTTCTTTCTTTGAGCAGTATATTTTTTAGCAGATCAAGTGTTAAATGTGGACCATCCATCAATGTTGGCAAATTCATATCACGTCCGGGTCACCATTGAGGAGATTTAATTTTATAGACTATGTCAACCTGCATCTATCAAAAGGTACCTCAAGATTGATTCAAGTGAACATGTCTAATATATTAGTGATTTGGTATTTAAAACTTATAGTGGTAGTTACGCCACAAGGGCACATTATCAAGATTAAAATTGCGTAGGAATCTGTGAGAAGAAATGTCTTCTTACACCACTGAGGTCAGAACTGTTTCTTCATGCGGTTCTGAATTGGCCATAATAGAAAAACGCCTATAACCGCGTGAGACAACATTTCCGGGAATGTGTTCCTATGCAATTTTAATCCTGATGATGTGCTCTGACTCCTCTAGAAGTTTGTCGCGACCTTTACTTGACCCCTTTCCAATAGTACCCTTTACGTATATAACGTATTTAAAGTTGTAGATTTCGACGAAGAATAGATTAAAAGTGTCATTTTAAAATATCTGTTGTTTTAGAAGCAAAACTTATTTTAGATTTGAAATCACCAACCCGAATGAGGCAAGATAAAGTATTGCAAAGCAACAGAAAGTTTATTCTTTAGTGTTATCAATAAGTGTTTTCGTTATTAACTTATGAAAACAAGAACACTTAAAAAAAGAACACTCCTTCTCGCTCCCGTGAAAATGACGGGGTGAGGTTTCGCCCTCTATTTCTCGCTTCTGTGAATTTTCCCGGGTGGAGTGTAAGTGTCAATAAGAATAAAACTAATCCATTTTTTTTGCCCGGAAAACATTTTATTTCTCACCAGATGGCAGTATCAGGATATTTTCAAGGTAATTGTAGATAGTTTATTTTAAACTAGATGCAAAAAAAAAAAAAAAAAAAATAGGCACTTTTATGACCGTTTTCTTGAAAATTAACAGATTGTTAAGGGGTTAAGTGAGAAATCTTTCAAACATTTATATTTACATTGGACAACGTTCAACGAAATAAAGTACTTAATTTGTAAAATATCGCATCAGAGTGAAACATATTGACAATGGGATATCTGCAAGTGACGTAGGCTGAGTATCTCGTTAACTATTGGTTGTTGAAACGTGGTATTTGTTTACGTTAGCAACTGTTCTTTCCATTCCGTTTGAGTAAACCAAGCCTTTCAAGGTATCAATTCTCTTAAGAGGTACATTTTTTATTCTTTCACAAGGATTTTAATTCTTTCACTATATATTTCATACTTAACACAAAGACAGGCACGAAGCTATGTGGAACATAAGCAAAATAATTATGCCTCAAAGTTGCCCGGAGCATGAAACAAGAATATATCATGGTTGCAATAAAATGCTTAAGCAAAGAATAAATCTAAGTTAAGTAAAAGACGTAGATGAAAACAAATTCGACGTGCGATCCGCCACTATAATTAACTTCACTAATTAACATTCTAACTTATGTGACGAAACTTAGCTCAACTTTAACAGGCCATTTTGCTTATAAACAATCAGCTAGCGCTGATGTCATAGGTCACATGTTTGGGTATCCGTGATCTTCGCCTTCTGAAGTGCAAGTACCCAATTTAATAACGAAAAATTGAAACCACAAAAGTTAAATACATAAAAATGTCATATTTGTACAACATTTATATTAGATATAAATATGCAAATTAAATATTTTCTCTTGTAATGTAATATATAAAATCATTCTTAAAAGTTTAATGTTTACTTTTATTCTCTGAAACGTAAAAATATATGTTTTTCTTAAATAACGATTAAGAAATTTTTTAAGTTTCCGAAAGATTGCGTAAATCATAGTTCATAGATAAATAGTTTTCATTGGTTTAATTGGGAAAGAGAAAGTATCGAGCGTCCTTGCACATATTTATTAGATAAAAATACAATTTATGAGATCGAAAAAACTGAACAGTAATGTATGTTCTGAAATCTTCTGAGTGTTCTGAAATCTTCGATTTTGGTAAATATATATGCTTAAAATTCTTATATAATGTGTATATTCATATAGAACTCTAAGAAAGTTCCGTAAAATTTGGAGATTGGTCTTTATCTTTTACCGCTAGCCCTCTTCTTCGAGAAGGAGATTATTGCTATAAAATACATAAATAGATTTGCATCTTTGCCTAAACAATTTTTTTTCTTACAAAGTTATGATAAAAATATAACAAAATAAAAATTCAAAAAATTTGATAATATATTTTAATTGGAAATCATACTGAACTAAAACTATATCAGAAGGATAACTGAACATAATACTTTGTCGAGTCGAAGTAAATTACTTTTCTTATTAGTTGTGTTTCAAACAACTTTCTATTTTGGCAGTCCCTATCTAGGGCAGTGTTTCGTAACCTTTTTGATAGAATGGACCCCTTTTAAATTTTTTTAAGAAGTCACGGACCACCCCCCTGAGAAAAAAAATTGCAAAAAGCATCAATTTTTAGTATTTAATTTATTTTAGCATTTAATTTTATGATTTAAATAGTATACAAAATATTTAAAATTAAAGTTTTTAGTCTGAAGGTTGTTGCTTCTTTTCCTTACTAAATTGAATAGAGGGATGGTTTTCGACAAAGCAACGGGCATAGCATGTTCAACATTCAATCGATAACGATGTTTTGTTTTTATTGTCACAACTGTGGAAATTCCGACTTCGTTAAGATACACTGTAGCTAACGGAATTATAGCAGAAATAGCTCGCTTTACTAGTAATGGGTAGGCTTCTTTCACAGAAGACCAGAACTCTCCGAGTGTTTTTGAATCGAAATCCATTTTTAGCAAGGACTTTGTTCTAAGATCAATAAGCTCATCTTCGGCAAGGTTCTTATCATCGATACAGTCAATATCACAAAGAAAAGGATGACGAATCCACAACTCATCTTTTATCTTTATCTCATCCAAATTAAAATATTTTTTCAATGAAACTTGAAGTACTTCCAGGTGTTCACAGATTTCATTTTTTAAGTTATTCAGTAACAAATTATCTTGCCAAGATCCATTTTCAGAAAGCACTTCGTCCAACATTTAAAAGTTTGCATATATCTCATTTTGAATTCTATTTTTTTCAAAGTGGCATCTTCAATTAGAATGCTTGTAATTTCTCAGTTGCATCCATAATGGTGATATCGGGTCCTTGAATTAAAAGACTTATATTGTTCATGTGGTTAAAATTATCTGCCAGGTAAGCCAATTTATAGGTAAAATCTTTTTTGTTTAAATATTCGAAGAATGAGTTATCTTTTTCTTCTAGAACAAGTGATAATTCGATCTTCAACATGAAAAATTGTTTCAAAACCTGCCCTCGTGACAGCCAGCGCAATTCCGTGTGGTACAGAAGTACCTCATGTTCTGCGTCCATTTCTTGACACAGCGTTTTAAAGAGACGATGATTAAGAGCTCTACGTCTAATAAAATTTACAGTTTTAATAACTTTTGATAATGCTTCTTTTAAGCTGGTTGGAAGAGTTTTTGTAGCCAGCGCATGTTTATGTAAAAAAAAATGAGTAACAAGAACATTAGGAGACTTTTTTTTTACCAACAGGGCAAAACCAGATTTATTGCCAAGCATCACAGGTGCTCCATCTGTACGAAGTGAATGAAGTTTTTCTTTCCAGCCGAAGTCTTGTTTGGTAAAGAAAACATTTAACATTGCTAAAACATCAACTGCCTTTGTAGTTTGCAAAAGAGACTCACAAAATAAAAATTCTTCTTTGATAGTATCAAGAGACACGTAACGAACAAAAACAAGAAGTTGACTATAGTTCGAGATATCTGTAGTTTCATCCAGTTGCATACTAAAGGGAAATGGTGATACTTTCAATTCATCGATGATCTTTTTCAAGATATTGCAAGAAATTTCACCTATTCTTGAACGTGTCACATCATTTGAAAATGGAATTGCCTCAAGATTTTTTTTTCTCTGTTCCAATCGACAAACTAATTCAACCATCTCCAGCTCACATGGCTTAATTAACGTCTCTCCAATAGTATGCGGTTTCTTGCTTTTAGCAATATGATATGCAACTTAGAGAGATGCCTCAACCAGAGGTTTTTGTGGAATACCAAATCCAAGTTTGTCTAATGTTCCAGATTTCAAAAACTGGACTTTCTTCTTGGTGAAATATTTTAGATCTAGTAACCTGAACAAGGTGTCAAATGTACGCAGCTTGATAGGGGATGATAAAAATAGTACAGAGGACGTCATCAGGGGGTTGCCACTGATGGTGCAAACTGAAAGCCGGTTAGTGGAGGATGTTAAAAATATGACAGGGATATTAGAGGGCTGTGTGCAGTCCGTACTGAATTTGGGGTATCTCGATCACCTAGTTTCAAATATGTATGTATTTTCACCTTTTAGAAAAAAAAAAGATCAATGTTATTTAAATATTATTAATCCAAACGTTTTAAAAATTAGGAGTGGTCGGTGGACCCCTAAAATATGACCCATGGACCCCTAAGGGGTCCATGAACCACAGGTTAAGAAACCCTGATCTAGGGCATTTTAACTGAATTCAAGAGAGTACTTTCCCATGATGAATAATACAGTATGAGGTATCTCTCTCAAGCCCCTTCTTCTCTGGGAACAGAGAGCATATAACTCTCTCATTTTCTGACAGATGGCAGCACTTCACTATTTTTCCTTATTCCACGATTTATTTTGAATCCACAAATAATTCTTCGGAATATTAAAAAAATTTCTATAAGTTTAATGTTATATTATGGCTAATGACCATGCAAATTTTATGAACTGGCCTGTAATTATTACGTCAACTTTATTGTAATTATATAAACAATTGTATTATTATGAGTTTGACAACTTTATGGGTATAAATTATTTTTACCGTCATTAATTTGCTGGTCACTGACACTGACCGTAATCGATCGGGAAATTTTTTTAAAATTTAGGGATCATGAATTAGTATGTAAGCGAGGAAAAAACAGAAACGCTATCAGAATCTGACGAATCACTAGTGAGTCAGGCGGTAAAAACAATTTAATTATTTAATGAAACTTGGAGGTGTTTCCAGTAAACACTCTCCTCTCTGATTCAGTTGACAGGTTTTGATATTTTCTGCCCCGCCCTCTTTAGAAATTATTCATTGCATTTCAATAACGTTTTTGTTTTTCTTTCTTCGTTTAAATGTCAATTTGCGACAGTGAAATTTTATTGTTTTTGTAATTTATTTTTGACAATCATTTTAAAAATATACATTGAGAGCAATTTTGCGGAATATTCCACTTAAGAAAATCGATATTAAAATTTAATTTTGGTGAATAAATTTTATCGAATAATTCACGAAATTAAATATTTTACGTAACACTTCTTAGGGGATTCCTACCGCCACTAGGATTTGAGTCCGCATGATAACGTTGTGCTCTCTCTTCCACTAAAATAACAACAGTACAAATTACTACTTATTAGTAGCAACGGTGCTACTTCTTAGGGCGCCACTAGGATTTGAGTCATCATGAGAACGTTGTGCAATCTCTTCCACTGAAATAGCAACAGTACGAATAACTATACTCTTTAGTAGCAACAGTACTACTGCTTAGACTGTCGCTAGGATTTGAGCCCTCATGAGAATGTTGTGCTATCTCTTCGACTAAAATAGCAACAGTACGAATAACTACTCTTTAGTAGCAACAGTACTACTACTTAGGCCGTGACTAGGATTTGAGTCCTCATGAGAACGTTGTGCAATCTCTTCCAATAAAATAGCAACAGTAAAAATTTTATAGATATTTTTTTAAAAAAGGAATCATCTCTAATTATTCTTTAACAGCTATACAAAAATAAAGGGTTTTAAAGGAAACACCACAAACATTTTATGTTCTGCCACATTTTTATATTTCTGGAATAAAATCACAGAATTTGTTTTAAAAGATATTATAGACGATACGATGGTTTGGACAGAATAAAATCGTTGCTGAAAGATGCTTTTGACATTTTGTGATGTGAGATTATTTTCCTCGGATTTTATTCTCTCGTAGAAAGAGATATGTAAAATATTTATGGGAAAAAATAACAAATGCATCATTTATTTCAAATACATATTATCTTGTGCAGATTTTAAAATATTTGCAGCTTTTAAGGGTAGTAATTATTCAGCACGTTTCGTTATTATTCAGCATGTGATATTTAGTTCATTGTAATTACTTGGAAGATTAAAACATTTCATACAAGCTATTGAAATGCGTTATTCAACTCAATTTTTTTAATAATTCGAATTAAATATTCTTTTTTGAAAATGATTAGAAGCATTAAAAGCTTTGAATTCTATTAATGATGAGTTTTTTTTAAAATGGAAATTGACTATGTCTAAACTAGTTAGCCCATTACTTCTCTGAAGTTAGGAATGAACAAACATAGATATATTTACTATAGCTTTTTTTCAATTTAAAAAAAAATTGTCATACTGCGAAATTGCAAATTTTAAGAGAAATAAAAAAGACTAAACAAAATAAAATAGCAAAATAAATAAATAAATAAATAAAATAACAAAACTACAAAATAATGAATGAATACAACTTGTTTTGATAAAAAAAATCGATAAAGAAATCAAATGTTTGTGATATAACAGAATCTTTAATGCTTACACCCATAAGATGTTTTCTAAAAATTATTTTTAAACATTGGATAAAATTCTATGAAATATTTAATGGATTTTACTTCAAAATGGAAAAATGATAGACATTCCTCTTTTAATGAAATACATTTTCGAAGTTTATAAGTCACAGAACAATAATATGTAGTCAAACTATTTTTGCAGAAAATCAAATGAAATATTTTTACAAAAAATCAGTTTCAAACTAATTGATTGAAAAGCATTCCAATCGTTGTAAATTCAAGTCCAAGTAAAATAAATGTTTGATGTAATTTTTTAAAACCTCTCGATACTGAAAAAAAAACTTTAATTGACGAAACTAATTAAATTCGTCATATTTCCTTTATCATTGGTATCAATATATAAATAAGTTAAGGCTCTCAATGGTTAAGGCTCTGAAGTGTCATTGTGAAGAATTCGGGTTTGATACTCAGCTGTGGTTTGAAGCCCATTCACTTTTAGCTTTTCTACACTGTAAAAGGTTTTCGCGTATCTTCACGCCAAAAATGGTGGCAACTACCTTACACCAAAGTCTTGGTGTTCCACCACAACAAGAATGTTCTATTACACTACTTGGCATGAAGTAGCTGCCACCATTTCTTTGCATTCAGTAGCACTAAAATTTGTAATTATAGTAAGATAAGATACAGCATAAGAATCAGTGAATATATTTTTAAAATACAATATAAAGTAAGAATCATTAATTTAAATGACCGTGTAGCACAGAGTGAACATTTAGACGAAGTCGAACGAGGCTTAACAGAGCACCAGCAGTCAGAAATTATGCTTGATAAAATCAATTCTAGCATTCTAAATTCATTCTGTTTTCTTAAGTCTAGCTGAAATATTTATGGAAAAATTGACATAAATTGAATTTATAAATTTTTTTTTTTACCATTTCATGTTTTTTTTTATATAACTTTAAAAATATTCAATAAAGTTAAACAAATGAAAAATTTAAAATTAATTACAAAATTTTTGCTTTAAAATTTGAAAGTTTGAGCGAAATCGGTTGAATATTCCTTGAGAATGAGTATAGGAAAATAATTCTGAACTTGAAGTAAGCATATTGCATTGTAAAAATTTATGAATTGAAGTGAAAAAAATAATTAACATAATGAAATGTATAATCATTAAGATCAATCACTACTTAAAAGCATAAAAAATAATCTGATATTATTCTATTATATGTTAATTTTACTTGTAGAATGAAAAGCAAAATATATTCTACTGCAAATAAAAAAGGTCATCGCCCTGATATTCTAAACTATTATAATAATTTTATGCTTTTAATCATGATTGATTCATATAAAAAATCAGATCAAGAAAGATTAACAGAATTTATATCGTACATTACCAGACGTGTCCTTTTTCGGAAAGTCTGTCAGGATTTAAAATAATCAAAGGAAAATTTTGGAGATTTGGTAGATGAGTTCCTATTTATTCTCTTCTTACATTCTTGGTTAATTAGAAAAGTAAGCATTCAAAACTTTCAAAACATTGCTAATTTTCAAAATTGTTTGATGACATCTTCATCACATAGAATGATAAGAGTAAAAATTTCATGACCATTTTCATCACATATTTTCAAGCATGTGACAACTTGGAACAATTGAGTAAATTTCTTGGGCAATTGTAGGGTAATTTTTATACTTAATCGTTATAAGTAAAGACATAATTTAAAAATTGTACTTTGCTCAATGTATCTTTTTTTCAAATTTGAATTGAACATAGTTATTTGCAGTGAAGGAAAATATTTCCTAAGTAAATGGTTGTAATAAGAATCTTGTCTTGTTAAAATGAATAAATAAATAAAGAAATAGTCGTTTGAATAACTCTTTGTGCTTGACTCAACTAATAATTTTTTTTTTACACGTAACATAAATATTTATGTATTCTTTAGCATTTACTATACGCATGAACTAACACATTGGGAAAAAATGTCTGGTGAAAACTACCAGATTACAGTAAAACTTAACCATGTTTCTGGCTCTACACCAAAGAGTTCTGTAATTTTTAACGAAGTTCTTTGGTAATTATTTCGGTAAAATTAACACTAAAAAATGGTTTTATGCGGTAAAGTTTGGTAATTGTGATAAAATTTGGTAATTTTAGCATGATATTTTAGAGCATGTCACAATGACCATTTATTCGGTTAAATTTACTTTTCTGTTTAGTATTTGTTACTAAATGTGTAGTTATAAGAACTATAATTTTGAAAACCAGAATTTCTGGTAAGACATTATCAGTTGAAAGGGTAAACAACTAAATAAATGGTTGAAATACTGCATCTTTAGGATTTTACTATCAGAATTATGGTTCAATTTATCAGAAATGTCATTAA